TGCCTCACCAACCCCGCGCCCGCCCTGGCCCTGAACCTGTTCCGCGCCTACACTGGCGCCAGGATCATGCACACCATCGTGTACGCCGTGGTGCCCCTGCCCCAGCCCTCCAGAGCCATCGCCTGGGCGGTGGGCTACGGCATCACAATCTACATGGCCGTCACTACCGTCATGCACTTCGCCTAAGTTATTAACAATTTCAGTATATTTTTCCTCTCTTCATTATTTTTTACCTGTATGAATGCGAATGTTGTGAGTAAGAATGCGTGTGTAAAAAAGTGTGTTGCCTACTACACGAGAAATATGTGAAAAAAGTTGTGTGTCTCCGGCTGTCGAATGTTGGCTTAGTTATGGTGTTTTATAAAAATATATGTACAAAAACCTGGTTTGATGCCTCACTTGCTTAGTACATGTCACACCCGTGCCCCAAAAGACGCGCTTACCTCATGTGCAAGTCATGGGAATCACAATTTCAGATTTTCATCACACAAGAATGTGCCTATTTTACCACTTTAGTTAGTGTGTTTGAGGAAGAGCCCAGTCACCGAGGGCGTCCGTAAGCGGCCCACTCGGTTTTTGACTAACTGCATTCGCATTCGCACAGCAGTGGAGCAACTGGATGTTGATCGGAGAGCTCCCCGGATAATTCGTCTTCCGGTTCCGATCTCCGATACGGCCCGCCAGAATGTGAGCGTTTTGTCTGCAAAAGGGTAAACAAACATGACAATAAAGCAATGATGGGAACCGCGTCCAAGATCGGAAGCATGGCGCGGCTGCGACGCCGCCGGCCGGCCGGCTGGGCGGCGAGGTGGTGGGGCGCACGGAGATTGGCGACGATAGAAGAGGCGACTTTACTACACCGTGAGCCGTGAGCCGTCAGTCAGTCCGCCCCACAGAGCGCCGGCGTTGCTTTCGTCCGTCTTCCTCCACGCGCACGCACACACACCATGTCGCCCGCCGGCTCCGCGCTGCAGCACGCCTGGTCCACGGCAAACCCCGTGTTCGCCGCCTACGTGTTCTACAGCGGCGTGCTCGTGCTCAAGCTCCTGGCCACCACGCTGCTCGTGGTTCGCCAGCGTTTCTCCAAAAAGGTAATAACCAGACACGCCAGTGGCGGCCCTGGCAGCAGTCCTGGCAGTCCTAGTAGTGCTCGTCTACAGTAGTCGTCGGCGCGCAGGTCGTACGAGTTCTGTTTACCGTCGGCAAACGACCGTCGGCCCTCTTACTTACGAGCGAGGAAGAGGCGGGCGTAAGTGGACAGTCAGAGGAAGGGTTCGCGTCGTCCCTCACTTACTCTCTTCCACTTACGTATACGGGCCTGGGGGCGCCCGCCTGGAGCGCGCGGGATAGGCAGCGCGCCGGCGCGCATGTGCCATGGGCTGCCCGGCCGGCCGGCTACAGCACCGCGACGAGGATGACTCGGCACTTACAGGCACCACCACAAGCGGCCGGATCTGACTCGTGACGACTAGTGCGACGGCCGCGAATTAGCGCCCACCGGACGCCCAAACCTTATCCGACTGCGCGTGCACGCGGCCAGATCTGACGAGGAATTTGGGGGCAGTGTCCACGCAGATATATCAGGTGACGTGTCGGGCCAATGATTTGCCGAGACGCCATTTGAATCTGCTTATGTCAGCGGTCAGGCCACCGCCTCGTTCCACCCCGCTTTTACTTATCTTACAACATGTTTTTATTTCTTTATATACCTATATCTGCTGAATCAGCAGTCTTGTTCAAAGCTGCGTGCATGACGTCCGTACGTAGTGGTATTCGGTAGAGTCCTACTGGAGGACTCATCCGGCCTCGTGACAGCCAGATCTGGGCGCGGGGGCAGGGTCCACTGCGTGAACGCCACGACGACTGTACTGTTAGTACAGTGCTGTGTACACCGAGTGGCCTGATCAGGCCACCACCTCGCTCCTCCCCGCTTTACTTATTATCTAACTTGTTGCTTTTTCTTCTTGTTGTTTAAAGGTTTTCTTGAACCCAGAAGACCGCTTGGACAAGAATAGCAAGGTTCTACCTGTCGGTGGTGACCCGGACGTCGAGCGACCACGCCGGTACGTCTAAAACGCATTGCGAAATGATATCATTGAAATAATGGCCTCTTCTTAACAAAAACGGCAAGGGGAATATTATTGTCTGCTCTCGAGCCATCACAAATCCTCGGCCGATGTCAGACACACACTTTTGTGTGTGACGCAGCTGTCATAAACTTATTTTATTTATCGAGTCACAATCGCGTTTGGAGTTTGACTCACGCACGCGCCTTGGGGCGGAAGGGAGGAGGGGGGGGGCAGTCATGCACGTCATGACCTGCAAACTCCCTTAAAATAGCTACTTATCGGTAGCCAATAAATACTAGCTCTGCAATCCGCCTGCAAGTATTGTGATTGCGACATCACCAATAAGCAAATCCAGGGTTAAGAACACGTGGACAGTCGTTTGTTAAACACCCCCCTTTTTTATCCGTCCCATCAGGGCGCACCTCAACGACCTCGAGAACATCCCGGCCTTCTGGGTCGCGGGCCTGCTCTACTGCCTCACCAACCCCGCGCCCGCCCTGGCCCTGA